TAAGCTATTTATTAGCGAGATTTTTTTTTTAAAGTAATTTAAAACGTGACAATATTTTGCTCTATCATTTACACTTTTATCTATTCTATTAATTACAGAACCTATTAACTGTATTATATTTTGACATATCTGTTTATCTACTGTATAACTGAACAATATTAAGGAAACAAAAATGTCAAGTTACTCTGGGTTTATATGTTTTATTTTTGTGCATGTGTGAAAAAAAATAAACTAATAAAAATAAATAAATAAATAAAATAAACAAATAAATAAATTAATTGATTAATTAAAATAAAATAAATAAGTACATAAATAAAATAAAATAAATGAAAAAAATAAAAAAATATAATAAATAAATAAACGTCCCCCTCACTTTTAGCGACAAACCATTTAGAAACAGGTAATTAATAATGATATGAACGTAACCTTTGGGAATTATTCAAGTCTTCCCTACTTTTAAAATGTTCGTTACACCCCTGACTCAAACTATTTTGTTTCAAAATATAATTTAATTAAATGGTTTGTTGCAATCAGTTTGCTTAAACAGTTCGAGTTAACTTAACTTATAGGGGTTTACAGTCGAAATAAATGAATAAATAAACTGTTTGCTTTATTCAGTAAAATCCTGACAGCACTACTTTATAGACAATGCCAAAAGCTGCCATGTTTTAAGATGTGTTTACATTCATTTCAGACTATACAATATCAATGCTTTTTACATTAGAAGTGTTAATAAAGCAAAATTCAGTTTAATAATCCTGATTTTCAATCACAAATGAAAGCATTTCTAAATCAAACTAATAGTCATTCTCTGAAGAAAAAAAGACACAAGGAAAAAGAAACGTTACCTTTATAAAAAAACAAATATTAAACATTTTACTCCTAATAAACCCATTAAATCCTGAGAAATTGAGACTTTTCAAGTGGACTTATTATTATATGTTTTTTCTTCTATTTGATGACATAAAGACTCACAGTTCAGCCCTATAACAATACTAATTAATTACTAATATTAATTATTGTCATTTTTCGTATATACAGACACAGAAAGACTACAAATCATGCATTTGCACCGGAAAACAGTCCTATCATATGTCTCTGATGTCTTCTGTTAAGAAGATATATAGGAGTTTCCTGTCCCAGGTGAGCTTTATGACTTCATCTTCGTCATATATCAAGATTATATGTGACAAGAACAGTTTCTGTTGGAAAGTTCAAACGAAATGTGACATGACACTTACGATTGATGTGTTCACATAAATTACCCACAGCAGAGGAAACCAGTCCGACTGCGGTAATTCTCTTGAAAATATTCGCAGGCTTATTCAAAACACAATGTTTTGTTGTTACATTACATATTGACCATCAATTGACACAAAAGACATGCACGGTAATAAACAATATTCATAAATTAGCAGTTTTCCCTATTTTGTGATTCATGTTTCTATTTTTCCTCATTTACTCATGCTTTTGAGTTGCATTATGAGACCTTGATGCTTCTTCCAGCAACTTTTAACCTTGGAAAGTTAGAAAAAAGTGACTTTTATTAAAGTTTTAATAGTTTAAAGCAGGGGTGTCCACACTTGGTCCTGGAGCACCAGTGTCTTGGAGAGTTTAGCTCCAACCCTAATCAAACACACCTGAACCAGCTAATCAAGTTCTTACTAGATATACTAGAAACTTCCTGGCAGGCGAGTTGAAGGAGGTTGGAGCTAAATTCAGCAGGACACCAGACCTCCAGGACCGACTTTGGACACCCCTGGTTTAAAGTGATATATTGTCTGGGTTGATGCTAGTTTATTTTGTAGCGTAATAAACAACATTAACAATACCATTCAATAACATTTTCTGTTATTTTACAGACTTATATCTCTATACACTATTTCTTGTACATTTCAAACTACTAAAATGTCAATAAAAGTTACTTTGTTAAACCGTAGAGATTAATTTTTAACATCAACAGTCGACAGAGCAGAGATCAACATCCCATAATGCAATTCACTACCATAAATACATGGGAAACACTTGTGAATCATAAAATACAGAAACTGTTAATTTACAGATATTTTTACAGTCTGCTTTGGAGAATTGAATTATTGTAATTTTTAAGCTGTATAGGTATAATGTGTCACTGCCAAATCCCTCCTATTTTGAGGCCCACCGCAAAGTGACATAAGAGTGCAGTTTCCCCGCCCACCGAATTGATTGACAGACATGTATTAATGCATATGTCATCGTAGTAACATGTATAATCATATTAACAAGATACGATGTGCGCAAAGCAACTGGGATTAAAAGTTCTGTTCAGCTCTCTGTGATCATCTACATCTCATGAAATGAGTTTTACAAGTTTAAAACGTTTATAAAACATTTTTGTAAAAAATACAGTAAAATCACAACGCAATTCATCATCACAGCCGCATAGTGTGAGTACAATTATAAAAGAAGATATTTTAACTCTGGTTTTTGGACTTAAATCAGGTTTTTTTTGTGTGTTAACATAACGAATATCCATACAGCAGTGGATATTAACGCGTATCCTGTCATATTAGCCGTACAAAAACTGTGCAATACTAAATGCGTGTAAGAGCGCGTGCACGTAAGCGAACTTTATAACAATATGTGTGTAACTCATCGTTGCAGAAAGGCTTGAATTAGCTCCACAACACATTTAACAAATAACCGTTAATAAAGTTCTCACTGTATTAAGGGAGATCTACTTCATTCTTGTCTGTCACTGTGCTGTTTATCTACGTGAAGGCTACAGCTCTGACACGCACATGGGAACGGTGGGCAGGGAGAACCAGCTTTAAAGGTACAGGCAACAAAAACAGCTACAATGCCATAACAACGCCTAATTTCGCTGATTTAAAATAGTATAATAAATAATCTGATGGGTTTTTTGAGCTGAAACTTTACAGACACATTTAGGAGACACAAACGACTTGAAAATCTTGAAAACGGGATAAAATAGGTGCCCTTTAAATGATCGCACATGAATCCTTAAAAGGTGCTTTTAGGGCAGTATAATATTTGTTATTTTTTTGTTGTCACATTAATTCAAAATAGCTTCTGAAGGATCATGTGACACTGAAGGCAAACTGCTTGAATAATAACAGTTTGACATTATGGGAACTTAAATAAAAATCAGTATGACTTGGGAACCACAACTACGATTCGGTCTCTGTTCATTGTAAATTTACGGAAAACAATCATCATTAAAGTTCTCTAAAATGTCATATGTTGTGACTTGAAAGAAATTAAGTCATAAGCAACATAATAAATGACATGCTTTCTAGAATGAAATA